GTAAATAAAAATATATATCTGTATATAGTTTAGAATATTGAATAATAAATACATATATATGATTTCTCATAGTTTCCTTTGAAATGGCTTTATCATCTTTTTGGTTTACTCACAAATTAATTAATAAACTTTGATGCTTTCTTTGTCCTGTGTCAAATCATACTTTGACCTAGACAATACTATCTTCATTTAAGGATGACATTTGTAGCTTGTACACATTCACTTTGTTTTCTGTCTTGCACTATGACACTGTTCACAAGCACAGTCCAGAATCTTTGTCTATATAACCACCCAGAAGTCACTAACAAGAATTGATACTGGCATTAAAATTCCAGTGTCATCTCTGCTCTGTTGGCATAGTTTGTCTTACTTACTTTTAAAAGTTGCTGACCAGATTAAAAGATATTTAATTCCTGCAAAATAAAATTGACACTCTTCGAGTCAAATCCAGCACCATGAAGATGGTCAGTTAGGTCACACTAACTTCTGCTGACATAGTTGGTGTGACTTTAGAAGGAAAGCACACTTACCAGGGTTCCACTAAATTGGCAGCATAATTCCATATTCCCAGTATGCACATTCATCCTGCAGGCACATTCCTTTCCTTTCCTATTCCTTGAAGACATTGCATTTACTGTCTATCCTCTAAGGAAAGCTGTACTTAGAGATTGAGTTATACAAAATTGCCATTTGCATAGATAGGTTAGCAATACCCAATACTAGCACTTTCATATGATCTGACCATATCAGAAGATAAAATCAAAGAAAATTATGCTGACCTTGGTGATCTTTCCATTTCAAAACAATTTATTTTCTATTTTAAATCACTACAATCATGCAAAAGAAGTGATTTAATCCTGTGTGCAAAGCATCATGTTAGACACCAAGGAATGACAAAGATATAAATGCACATATGCCTTGGAGGGTGCCCATAATTGGTTTTCATGGGGTGACTGGTCTTGTTTTCTATTAGATTATGAGCTCTTTGAAGGCAGGGACTGAGTTTTATGTGCTCTGTTTATTTGTGTGTGTGTACTTAGCATCTGGCAGGTGTTAATAACTCTTTGTTAAGTGAATAGAAGGTAAGGAGAGAGAAAAGAAGAAAGAGGGAAGGAGAGAGGAATGGAGCCTCTAGATTGAGAAGTACCAGACAAGCTGGACTTATCACAGAGAAAAGGAAGACAATGAAGAAATTACAGAGTTTTTAATAAATTTTTACCTTAGTAAGTTTTATACTTCAAACCATTGATTGAAATAGCTTTGGCTCTAGGTTGACTTTTTGGTTTGTTTCCAAAAACCAAAATCAGTCTAAATAGATTTCTGCATTTCACCATAAATGTATGATAAACAGAAGTCATAAACAACAGTAATCAGGTGTCCTTTTTAATAGCAGCAGGATCAGGGTGATAGATTTGTTAGGTGATGGTTATTTGGAATTATAAACTATATCATCTATTAAAAATTGGTTGCATGCAAATGAACCATTTCTAAAGCATTTTTCCTCTTATCAATATTGAAATTATCAAATTTTACATTTCAGTTCATTTCTAAGCAGTCCATGGTGCAAATAATTTTTCCTACTTAAAAGTTTATTTAGAAAGGCATTTCCTTCATTAAGTAACAACTTGCATCAAAAGAGCCAATACCTAAATTTCTTTCTTCTCTTTTTACTGATGTTTGAGTGATATTAAAGGTGATGTAACTCTAACATTTCCAGAATATGGAAAAAGTAGCAATCAGTCACCTTGAGAAATTTATTAGACATGAATAAAATTTTGCTATAACAATAAATTTGCCATATGGTAAATTGCATTAGCCCTGCCATTTATAGATAGCACACTCCTTGATGTGTAATTGATAAAGATTCAACTTTCAGAAATTTAACAGAAAGAATTTTTTTATCTGTATTAAAAGGCTTAAAATATACTTAATCACTGAATAAGCAATTCCATTTTCAGGAAGTCATCCTACAGAAATAAAGTTAGGTTTAAAGATTTAACTATCATTGGTGAGAATGTGGGGGGAAAGGCACACTCATACTTTGCAGTTGGGACTGCAAATTGGTGCAGCCAATGTGTAAAGCAATATGGAGATTCCTTGGAAATCTGGGAATGGAACCACCATTTGATCCAGCTATCCCTTTCCTCAGTCTATACTCAAAGGACTTAAAAACAGCATATTACAGGGACACAGTCACATCGATGTTAATAGCAGCACAATTCACAATAGCTAAACTGTGGAGCCAACCTAGATGTCCTTCAGTGGATAAATGGATAAAAAAAAATGTGGCATATATACACAATGGAATTTTACTCAGCATTAAAAAAGAATAATACCATGACATTTTCAGGTAAATGGATGGCATTGGAGAAGATAATGCTAAGTAAAGTCAGCCAATCCCAAAAAAACAAATACTGAATGTTTTCTCTCATATAAGGAGGCTAACTCATAGTGGGGTAGGGAGGGAGAGCATTGGAGAAAGAGATGAATTCTAGATAGGGAAGACTAGTGGGAGGGAAAGGAAGGGGACAGAGGATTAGCCAGGATGGTGGAATATTATGGACATCATTATACAAAGCACATGTATGAAGACTTGAATAGGGTATCAACATACTTTAAATACAAACAGAAATGCAAAAATAGTGGTATATATGTGGATTAAGAATTGTAATGCAAAAAAAAACTAGCATTACCTTAGATTAGGTAGAGAAAAGTGAAAGGAGGGGAAGGTAGGGGATGTGGGGATAAGAAAGATAGTAGAATGAAACAGACATTATTACTGTATGTATGTATGTGACTGTATGACCAATGTGATTCTGCAATATGCATACTCAGAAAAATGAGAAATTATATTCCTTCTATGTATGATACATCAAAGTATATAAGTGCTTTCTACTGTCATGTAAAACTAATTAAGACAAATTTTAAAAAAAGATTTAACTATCAAAGAATTTAATGCAATATCATTTATCCTAATGAAAAAATTATAAACAACTATAATGATCAATGATAATAGACTATTGTTTAGTCTTCTCATAATTTTATATTTTATAAATATATACATTTATATATAATTATGTAAATATTTATTTGTATTCATATATATAATATACATATTTTTTATGTTTTATACTTTATAAAATATATAAATATTTAAAAAATATATAATATATTTTAGATATTTTATCTGTATGGAATTTATTTTCACAAGAAAATATTCTTTATGGGTCACTTAAGAAAAGTAGGTTGCTTAATTATATATGTACATAAATGTATAAAGTATCTATTATATATTAATATTATACAATAATGCATAAGTGTATAATAATATATTAACATTCTATAATATATAATCATATTTATATACAGATATTATATAATAATATAATAGCATATAATACTATATGCTATATATAACATATGCAATATTATATACTATATAACACATATTATAAATTATGTCAATATATAATATATAATAAAGTCATTATATATCATATATTAATTATAGATGTTATAGATGTGTGTAAATTGGGCATACTAGCATACACCTATAATCCCATAGATCAGGAAGGCAGAGGCAGGAGGATCACAAGTTGGAGGCCAGCTTAAGTAATTAAGTAAGAGCCTATTTTAAAACTAAAAAGGGCTAGGAATGTAACTCAGTGGTAGAGTACCCCTGGGATTCCATGAAAATTATATGAGTGTAAACATAACTTCATCTTCATAGAAGAATTATATGCACACTTTTTTTTAGAGGGGGATCAGACTTGCCAAGGTTTTTACTTCTCTGAAGAAGGAATTAGATATGTTCAAAAAGTTTTAAGTTTCCTCTCTGCTTATTGCATTGTCTAGTTTTTCTTCAATGAGCTTTTAAATTAACACAAAACTTTTTCCAACAATTAAAAAAGAAATGCTACTGTCCAGTGGTTAGTGCTCATATCATTACTACCTATAAATACACTGTTGTTCTGAGGCTTTGATTACTAAAGTTGAAAAACAAACTGTGGTGATACACCTAAATAGTTAAAGTGGGTCTCTGTATCTATAAAAATCTCCATGTTACTTGAAATTTTTCATGATAGAATTATAAATTTTTAACAAAGGAAAGGATTTTCCAGAGTATGCATTTCAACTCTCATATTATACACATGAAGTAATCAATATTTATAAAAATTAAGTGGCATGCTCCGGAACTTATGACTAATTTTTAGTAGGGTTAATATTAGAATCTGGTTTCTATGCAAATTTTTTTACTTAGTAAATTAATTGTCCACTTCATATGAAAAATAATCTCATTTTATTTGACTAGAAATGAAAATAGAAACACGTGGACAGCAAAAAAAAATCTCCATGAGAAAGAACTGTCTCAGATGTTTCACAACATCACATTGCACACCTTAACTATGTACAATTTTTATCTGTCAGTTACATCTCAGTAAAAGCATTTTAAAAGCTGAAATAAAAGCATTACCTCAATATTTAGGAATAGTCACCTCCAAAAAGTTACAGTAAAAGAAAAATTTCTAAATCTGAGTTGAAGTATAAGTCATTATTTCCTCCATTTGAAGTAAAATTATTCAAAATATAAAATTTAAAGGCCTCCCCTTTTATGAGAGTTCAATATTTTATTCTGAGGAAAAACTAATTTGTGGCCATTTTTATTTTCTATTTCAGAGAAAAAGATTATCTGAAAACACTTTCACTTCAATTTTAAATAATAAATTCCCTTGTGCATAGCTCTTATTATAAAAGTAACAAATTCGAAATACAAAATTTTGAAAAATCACCAAAAATTCTATCACTCAGAGACAAGCACTAATAACATTTTGGTGTCTATCCATTAAGGTAACGCTTATTTTTATATGAAACTGTGGCTGCTGCCTTCTACCCTGAATGCCTCCAGAATTTTCTGGGGTGGTGAGTAATGAAAGTAACATAATAACCAGCAACCCTTGAAAACAATACATTCACATCTCCTTCCATCTCCTTTCCTCCAGGACAGATATCAGTGGATGGATTTATGCGCTATCTGAGTGGAGAAGAAAATGGAGTCGTTTCACCTGAGAAACTGGATTTGAATGAAGACATGTCTCAGCCCCTGTCTCACTATTTCATTAATTCCTCGCACAACACCTACCTCACAGGTATGAATTCACCGTTTTATGACTGTTACTATGGGCAGTCTCGCCAAATTTCAGTAATCTCTAGTTTCTCTTGTTTCAAAAAGTATAGGAGAATTTTCTTCTGCTTCCTCAGAAATGCCTCTGGGAACTCTGGGGTTCCACCACCAAAGTCTCCACCCTTAATAAGCAGCCATATCCCTGTTTGTGAAGCAATATCACCATTTCTCCAGGCCTAAGTTTTCAAGTCTTTTAAATGTACCCACACCTTTTAGCTTCAGACCAATGGAATTTTGTATAATGGAATCAAATCTTATGTTCAAAGCCACTTACAATCCCACCTACCTCTGTGGGCTCTGTTCATCTACAGAAGAGTTCCATGGCTCTTAATAACTTCTACTGAAGGCAAATTGATTTTGTTCAAGGTGAAACAGGGTATTAAACAAAAACACATTGATCTGTGAATAGTAATTTATTCCTGATAGTAAAAATTATAATAAAGCAGGAAAAAACAATTATATGTTTCCTTTATTGATCATAAATTGAATTCTGTCATGGTTTGGGGGAGATCATTAACCGATTCAATCCCAAACTTTTAATTCCTTGAATATTTAAATAAAATCAACAAAGGTACATTAAAATAGGTTGGAAATCATGATACAGAACTTACATACATATAACTATGCTAATATTAGTTAATATTGATATTATTATAGTTATTATATTACAACCTAATTATATTCTTCTTATTATGTATTATATCATTATATTATATACTATGTTAAAATTTTTATAGCTATTCCACACCTGGGACAATGGTAAAAAATGGATTACATAGGAAAATACTAAAATATATTTTACATACTTATATACACATAATTTAAACAAACATACACATATATGTTGTCTTATAGTTTAGAATTAACAATTTAATATAGATTTTAATTAGCTGAGAATAATCAAAATGCATTTCTTCTAAAATACTTTCTGTATAGCAGATCTCTAGTGGCAGTTCTTAAAAAGTCCTTCTAGAAAACCTGAAGCTGGGATAAAAATAAAAACACCTTTCTAAGACCACATCCCATTCTTTCTTCATACCATCCTCACATATATAAGATAGCCAGATCTAACACAACAGAACTGAAGTCTGGGTCTCATTTGCTATTTGTGTTTTGTAAATGCTCTCCTTGCCATGGTGGTGGTTTTGATGTGTTCTTGGCTCATTGTCCAGGGGTGTATGGTTTGTACTGCAGGGTAGACCACCAGTGAAAATGCCTATAAAGACAAGAGAGACCCAGGCACTGAATAGCCTTAAAGGTGTCCATGAAAATTCCACAGGGTTTAGCAATCTGACAACTGAACGGTTCTTTTTTAAAAAAAAATTCTTTAAAAGATTTATTCCTTATGCCTCCAAATGCACACTTTGTTGGTATCAAATCTAGCATTGGCCCAATATCCCATAATGGGTGAAAAAGAACTTAGAAATTATTCTTCGAGAGCAATGTTGCCTCTCGACAGCCAGAATGGGCTATCTCAGAGTGATTGCCCATAATTTGAGACCATCTAGTAAGAATCATATGGTCTGAGTTCTGTAGACATTTGAACTAAACTAGACATTTGAACTGCAACGTACATGTTCATGAGAACTGAAAGGCTTTCAGACTACTTACACCCAATTTTGTTTCAACTGACATTCTCTAGAAAAGCTCTGCCACAAAACTAAATTCATGTTTGGTTCCTCCTAAACTCTATTCTGGTTACTTATTGCTGTATAACAAACCACTCCAAAGGGTGTCCAAAGTTTAGTATCATAAAACAAGCAATATTTTACTTTGATTCATATTCTGTGAATCAGGAATTCAGATAGTGAATAGAATACAGGAGACTGTATGTCTCTGATCCATTGTGTCCTAGTTTTTACCTCAGAAGTGACTGGGAGAAGAAGGGGTGACTCAATTAAAGAGCCTGCTGCTGGAATCATCTGGAGTCTTCTCCATCATATCTGGCCCCACAGCTAGAATGACCCAACAACTAGGTTCAGTTAGGACTAGGAACCCAATTTTTACAAGAGGCCTCACCATGTAGCTTGGGCTTCCTTAGAGCATGGCAACCCAAGGGTAGGTAGGCTTCTTACATGGATGGCAACTCAGAGATGCAAGAACAAGTATCCCAGGTAACAAGGAAGCTTAACTGCCTTTACACTTAACTCCTGAAGCCCTATAATGTCACTCCTTTCTGTATTTGTCTAGAGTCACAATCCCACTTAGATTCAAAGGGTACATAAACCACAGCTCTCTCAATAGGAAAGTGACAAAGAATTTTCAGTGCTATTTAAAACTACAACAGGTTCCATAATTTCAGGAGAAGAATGTCCACTTAAACACCCTTTGGATTCAGTTCTTTAGGCCTGCTACAAAAACTGCAGCTCCATTCACATCCAAGCTCATAAGCCTTTATGAGGGATTTTATTTTTCCTTCTTAAAGGTTCTTAATCTTATTTGGTGCCACTGACCTATTTGGTAGCCTATTGAAGCTTATAGACACTTCTCAGAATGTTAAAAACATAAAATAAAGTACCTGGGATTAAAGAGTAAATAAATTTCACTAAAATATTTTTAACAAATATTAAAAAACAATTTTGTGATAAAATAATATGTATCTTTTTAATTAACCATTTTAAATGAGTATAAGCAATATTTTGTCATACTTGCCGCAATTGGATACCATACGAAAGTATCTGTGATTTCTACTGGTAAAACAGTCACATATCCTGCTAAAACTACTGTGACTTGTCACCTACATTCATAATTGAAGAGAATTTAAATTTTGTGAAGATGTTATAATTAAAAATGTAACTTTTTTCTCATCCAAGTTCATGGAGGTCTATGAAATGTCAAGTTAAGAAGCTTTATCTTTGACTTGAGAGAATCCAAAATATGATTTTAAAAACTTCAGCATATAATGAAATCTTGCATTTATCATATACTTACTACAAGACTCAAAAAACACTTAAATATTTATCCAGCTAAATTTTGGATATGAGATTTTGTTTGCCCAAAAGTCACAATGCTGAGTAATTTTATAAAAGTCCTTTTAAGCCCAAAATGCCTGGGAATTGATGCCATGCAACTAAATTGATATATTTATATTCATTACTTTCTGTATCATATAATAAATGAGTCAGGAATATAAAAACAATTGAACAGCAATACCGATTGGATATATATTGCATTGTTTTCAACTTCTTTTGGAATATATTAAACTGTCCTCTGGAACATCATTATGGATTTAGGTTTTTCACATTTTGTTAATGTGCATTCCACCACAGCCACTATTCTTTGAAGCTCAAATTATCTTAGCTTTGGCCACTGGGAACCCTTTTTTGCCTCTCAGTATGACCCATGGGTTTTGAAAATTCTCTTGCTTCCTGGCCCATAAATATTTTCAGAGTCACCTTTCTCCTGCCTGCTCTAGACATGGAATCATGTTTCTCCAGTGTATTCTGGATCCTTGTGGGGGAGAGCAAAAATAGTATAAGTGACAGCACTTTTGACCCTGCACTATGAAAGATTATTTCCAGATTATTTCTGTGAACAATCCAAGGAATTTGGGTTGTTGTTATTTTGTTTTTTGCTTTTTAGGGCATGGTTCAGAAAAATATTTTCACTTCTATCTTCCAACTTCAATTCTTGCATTTCCTTTTGCAGTCTTGATACCTAACAAATTATGCAGTTACTCATTTGCTTTACAGATGACATAATAATAGTTCTAAGAAAATTATTCATTATTAATGCAAACAATAAATTATGGAATACAATTCAAATTTCCCATTTAGTTTTTATTTTCAAACTGCATTTCACCAAGGATTTTCAAATTAATATTATAACAGTCACTAATATGCCCTGTTTTTGTGTGACTTTAGAACCACAGAAGTGATGGAGAATTTTAACTTCATTGTATTAGGTTATTTTAAATCTGAGGGTATTAGCATATTATGGATGACAATGCTCAGAAGATTTTTCCACTATTAGGAAAATGAAGGATTCAGGTTAGGTTTTAAAGAAAGAACTCAAGTAGTTGTTTCCAAATTTCTGTATCTGATTCATTCATTCTGTATATGATTGCTGATGAATTCTCCATCTAATTATTTAATTTCTAGTAGTATTAAATGTACATATTTTCAAATATTCAATTTGTAAAACTATGTGAACTCATTTAAATTCAATACTTATCTTAAATTATCTTGTTATAGTTGCTTATCTTTCTCCCTTTTCTGAACTATGTATTATTATACCAAGGTTTTTATTAGATAGATTTGCATAGAATGAAATAAATTCTCACAATATTAACTTGTTCCAGTAAAAGCCAGGCTTTTGTCTTTCTGAAAGGGAATTAGAGAGAATTTCATATAAATAGAAAAAAATCCATTAAAAAATGTTAATACGGGCTCTTCAATATGGAAAGCAGTATGGAGATTTCTTGGAAAACTGGGAATGGACCCACCTTTTATCCCAGCTATTCCACTCCTCGATATATACCCAAAGGACTTAAAAACAGCCTACTACAAGGACACAGTCACATCAATGTTTATAGCAGCACAATTCACAATAGCTAAACTGTGGAACTAGCCTAGTTGCCCTTCAGTAGATGAATGGATAAAGAAAATGTGGTATATATACACAAGGGAATATTACTCAGCGATAAAAGAGAATAAAATCATGGAATTTTCAGGTAAATGGATGGAGTTGGAGAATATAATGCTAAGTGAAGTTAGCCAATCCCAAAAAAACAAATGCCAAAATGTTTTCTCTGATATAAGGAAGCTGATTCATAATAGGGTTGGGAGGGGGAGCATGGGAGGATTAGACAAACTCCAGATAGGGTAAAGAGGTGGGAGGGGAAGAGAAAGGGCATGGGGGTAGAAAAGATGGTGGAATGAGATGGACATCATTACCCTAAGTACATGAACGAAGACAAGAATGGTGTGAATATACTTTGTATACAACCAGGGATATGAAAAATTG